TATCTGACCAAGATAAATCATTTATCGAGCAAGACGCGATTTCAGCTTTTCTTAAAGGCATTCCTTCTCTGCTTCAAATTCAATGTTTGATGCAGCCCCACGACTCGTTGGAGCAAACGTACGCGTCATCGATAGCTGTATTTAAACAGAATGTGACGTTTCAGGAGCGATACGCGCATTTGACGAGCTCTGAATCCTCTGAAAAAAATGATTTTTATTATAATCAACCAGCACAACAAATATGTTCGCAGCCGGAAAATTAGAGTCTCCCGTGGGTTATTTCGACGGGGGCCGACGGGAGTTCCTTTCTGAAAATGTAAAGCCCGTCAAACTGAAAAGAATAATTAGAACTGCCCATAGAAGGAAAGTATCTAATTTCAATAAAGCTGAGCACGTAGATATACCGCTGAATTTTTATCCAAATAAGAACCGAATCCAATGATAAAATTTTGTTCTGCAAAGGAAAATATTTCAGTTAATAATGCACTGGAAGTAGAGCAATGCGCGGCAGTTAAAGAGCTCAATGAGCTGTCTGTGGCATTGCCAGGAGCTCATTGGGATCGATCAGCTCGAGCTAAGATAGATACCGATTTGTTGAAAGGCCATGCCGAAGAACACGTAGTCCTTACGAAAACGGAAGGTCTGGTATCGTTAACTCAAGTCGTCGGGTTAGTTGAGATCGTAACTTAAAACATTGATTAAAAAAATTTCAATTATAAATTTTAAACTATTTAGAACTAATTTCGTTCAAAAAATTATCTTGTAAAATAAAAAGTTCCTCGAATATTTATCAAACAATTTTGAAGACTATAAGATTTTATTTATCAATGTCTAAATTTTAAGTAACTGCTAAGAAACGACAGTTTACAAGTAGATCAGACTTTCGGAACCGGATGAAATTTTAATTGATAAAAACGAAAAAAATAATATTCAAAACTAATTTGTGACATATTTTCTGACGACCTACCCGAATAGATTATTCGAAAGACTGATCAATGTCATGATTATTGAATCAATATCATGTTTTTACTATGAGACAGCCATCAATTCAAAAACGGCTGCGACAGTAAAACTGTGTCATCAAACAAACTCTAAAATAAGTAATATTGAGGCTATTACTACTTCTAAGGTGCGAAAATTGAAGCTTAATAAAAAAGCTTTATGATGCAACTTACCGAATTTCAATATCTTGTCTAGTTGAGTAATTACAACAACACAGAAAAAAAGGTTCATTTGAGCCAAGAAAATATTTTTTCGCTCGACGGGCAGAAAGCGTCAAATTTCGGCCCGCTGCGCTAAACGAAATTGCCACTTTCTGCCTTCGTCGAGCAAAAAAATAGCATATACTCCTCGGGAAGTAAATAAGAAAGCCTCAGATCACATATTTTTTCTCACCTCTGGGCGGAAAGCGTCAACTTTCGTCCCGCTGCGCTAAACGAAAATGCCGCTTTCCGCCTCCGTCGAGGAGAAAAATAGTATACACACCACGGGCAGTAAATAAGAAAGCCTCAGATCACATGTTTATTGATCTCGGCTTCGCCTCGGACAAAAATTACATGTGATCTAAGACATTTCTTATTTTACTACCCTAGATGTGTAATATACTATTCTTCCTAATTATTTTCTTGAGCGAAAAAAAAAAAATTTTTTTTGACACAAGAAATTTCACTTATTCCAACAAAATTAATTCTCTTGCTTTAAGAAATACGTATTTTGATCCAAGAAAATTTATTTCAGTCAAGAAAATCTTCTTGTATTGAGAAAATTCAGCCTCTTGCTCCAAGAAATTTAGTTCTTGATAGAAATAAATTTTCTTGTCTTGAGAAAATTTCTCTCTTGCTCCAAAAAATTAAATATCTCGATGAAAGTAAATTTTCATTTATATTTTTATTGATTAAATGTCAAATGGGAAGATCAAATAATATTAAATCATTTTTTTTTTTCATTCAATATATATAATTGCACGCTAAAATAATATAAATTGGGTATCAAATACTCAAGAGAAAAATTTTCTCAAGGTGAGAAAATTTTTTTTTCAGCTGAAGTAGGTGGCACTGCTTCCCTAAAGTATCTAAAAATCTTGATCAAATATAGAAATTTCTTGTATCAAGTATTTATGATAATTTGAATTTAGAAAAAATTACTTCAACCAAGAATAGAATTTCAAGAAAAATTTTTACTTCGGCCAACACATTTTTGGTCTTCCTTTAGGCACCTGAAAATTTTCTTGAGTCAAGAATTTTGTTCTCCAATGAAGAAAATTTTCTTTCTGTGAAGTTGAAGTGTAGAGGTCGGCTATGAACGGATTTTACGAAATTCCCCACCCACAAGAACTGTTGCAGGGGCGTTAACAATGGAAAATTCCCGTTTTTAAACTATAGCTCCTACAGGCTTTAAATTTGGTGAGAATCTTCTATATGTGATGTAGAAATGATCTAAGAGCGGATTTTGCAACAACCTACTCCGAATATGGATTGCGGAGATAGATATGTTGACAATGAAAATTTTAAATTTGCTACCCAGGTAGAGTTGACCAATCCTGACAAATGGCCCAGCCTTGGACCATTTGTTACTTTACCAAGTCTTGGTAAGTTACCAGTGGCCCAGGCCTGGCCCGAGGCTTGGCCCAATGGTTCAATATTTTGGAACCAAGCCTTGGGAAATGACGACTGGCCGAGGCCCGGTCCGAGGCTTCGAACACTGATAGAAGAATTTAATCGAATTTAATAAATAACTTGTGTTAAGGAAGTACGAGCGTAACTAATGAGTCAAAATAATGTTAAAATTTTTTTTTAATTTTAATCTTCCCAATATTCGTCAAAATTCTTTATTTTAATTTAAAATAATTTGAACAATTTAATAATTGATAATTTTTACTTATTTAAAAAAATAAAGTAATAAAATGACTTTGGTATTTATTACTTGCTGGAGTAAATAAACAGATTTGGCAATAGCGCGCTTGATTATACCCATAACAGAGACATGGATGAGTGTATTGTATTGTATTGGGAAATCATCCACTTAAATACGCTACCTGATGGATCTAATGCGAACTACTCTATGCAGGTCGAGTATAAACAGCTAATGTCATATAATATGCCGAAATTGCAGTTGAAATTTGTTGAAATTCTTTTTTAAAATATTAATTAATTAATTATAGTCCATAAACTTAGTTATTATTTAAAATAACATCAATTTTAACGATCAAAAATTTTTAATCATGTAGTTTCCTCCACGAGAAAATAAAAATCAAACTTTCTGCTGCGTGTATGGGTGTAATTGCAAGTCATCTAAAAATTTTTAGAATTTCTTTTATTGAAAAAATTTTACATGTAAAAAGTTTTAAAAATTATACCTGCAATTTTGTAAAAATATTTTTTTTTTGTTCTAATTTAATTAATAAAAAAAATCTAAAATTTTTGAACGTCGGTTAACTTTAATGTCATTAGCAAGTCTAGTAAGAAGTTAGATTTTACACTTTTCCTCCGACCAATTCTAGTTCTGTGGTGATAAAAAATAAATTTGGTAAAGATGAAGTTATAGACCGTCGATTAGCTTGGATAAAAGCATTAGAAATCTGAAATAAAGTTACACAGTCCAAGAGAGTGTGTTCATTACATTTTACCAAAAATGACTTTATACCAATTAACATAAATATTTTTGTAATCACAAAAAAAAACAATAATTATAAGCTGTGAATTCTTGAAATACAATGTAATACGACAGATTTAAATTACTTAAATAACTAAATAAATGTTTTTGTAAAATAAAGAATTGTAATTATAGTTGCAATTTTATAACTATAGTAATAAGGATAAGTCGCATGAATAATTCTTAAATAATTAAAAATTTTTATTACTGGGCTGAGTACTTGCAAATTCATGATGCTGAAAGTAACAGATATCTGACAATTTTTTGGATTTTTTAAACAAGCAGATTTTTACAAAAAAAAAAAATAATAGAAAAAATTCACATATAGAAATTTTAAAAAACTAAAAGTGAAACTTTTCTAAATTTTTTGTCCTAATTTATTTCTTTAATAAAATAAAAATTTGACAGGTTGTCTACTGATTTCAGTATCATGCAAATTCACAAATTTCTTGAATTAAAATTTTCATTATTTATTAAATTTCTATTAAAAATTCGATTTAATACAACGTGTAAATACACGATTGAATATGAGAACACGGCAGCTTATTTAAAAATGCGTTTTACAGTAGTAACTGCTTCTGCCGCAAGGAGAAGCCACGCCCCCGGCTGATTTCCCAATAGTTCTTCGAAAAAATAGTCGATTATAGTGGTAGTTTTCCAATTACGGGAGCACAGTGCGACTCACTGCCGCACAGTTCGCACGGTGCCGCATTAGCACATGTTTAATTGAAACAGATTAGTTAAGAAATGTAGCAATAGATCGCGTTGCTATTGCTTCAAGTTTTGAAGAAAAATTCGAAAGTTTGACTTAAAGTTTGACAAGGTATAATATACATATTTATTATGTATTTACCTGTATATTTAAATCTTTGAGACTTTTTGAAATTTCTTTTCAAACGTTAGATTTTTTGATTGAAACAAAGAATGAAAGAATGAAGTAAAAGCATTAATAAAAAATATTAACTATTAATTTGTTTCCATCGATTTTAAATTATAATTTTAAACAAAATTTACGTTCTTCATTTCTTTCTGGTATGTACAGTCGGCGACATGTATTTCTCCCGTACACAGGGGTGGGCACGTAAAATACTATACGTATAATACATAGTTTTATACATGTATAATACTTGGTAGATTACCTTCTGAGTTTTCTACATGACGTATTTTACGTCGAGTCTTTTTGCGCCACCTGTGAACTTATAATGAACTTTTAAGATTGTGAATCGTAAGCAAATAATAAATGAATTAGTTTCAACTAAGCTTCTTCACCTTTCATTTGTTATAAAAATCATTTATTAATTTGTGTTGAACATCAAATTTCAATACCAAAGTAAAGTTACATAAAAAAAATGCAACGAGGTGGTCGTCCAAAACATAGTTTTTGGGAAGAAGGAGGATTTAAAAGTATTCGCCAAAACGGCAAACAAGTTGCGTCATGTTTACGGTGTAGCAAAATTATAAACAACACTGCTGAACAGCGATTAAAAAGTCACAGGTAAAAATAATTCTTTTTTATTCTAACTAGATTAAATTTAAAATTTAACCTTTAAATAATAAATAATTTTTTTCACAAAGTACTAAACAACTGAGTTTGACATTAATTAGTGTTTATTTTTCATAGAAAAACGTGTATATGGGAAGTTGAGAATTCTAATATTGATGACAGCAGCGATGATTCCGTAGTTCGACATTTATCATTAAAACTTAAAAATCGATCTGGAAGTTATGAAGAGAATAATAACTGTACTACTACTTGTAATACTGATGGAGTCATCACATTATCAACCGTCAAATTGAAGAAGAATACGCCTAAAATAAATTCTTTTATAGATAAAATAAGCGAGACTGAGCATTCAAAATTAGACGAAGCTTTAAGTTACTTCTTTTTTAGTAAAAATTTACCATTTGATCTAGTTGAGGATGAATATTTTATTAAATTTTGTAAAACATTGCGACCAGCTTACCAAGTACCTACCCGGGAAAAAATAATCAGGACTGATCAGACCTGTTCATATCTGATCAGGCCTGAAATTTGACCTGATCAGGCCTGTTCATGTATGATCAGGCCTGATCAGACCTGTCCATGCCTGTTCATGCCTGTTCATGTCTGAACCGTTAAATATGCTCAGACCTGATCAGACCTGTCCATGCCTGGGGAGCGTTATAAACATATATAACAACAGGGATCAGTACTAGGTCCAATTCTATTTCTAATAGTTATAAATAATGTGGTTAAAAAGTTAAAATACTGCAAGCATGGCCTATTTGCAGATGATAAATGGGCTTATTTGCATTTCAAGTTATATCATCTATATGAAGCAGCTTTAAGTATAGATATATATGCTCAAGCAGTAGCAGACTGGGCTCGTGAAAATGACCTCGAAATAAATTATAAGAAGACCAAAGTCATGATCTTGGGAAGTAAACACAAATTGAAATTGCTTGAAAACTTTGAGCTACCTGAGATCATTATAGATGGCAATGTAATACCATATACAAATTCAACCAAACATCTAGGAGTCCATCTTTCAAATAATCTTTCTTGGAATATGCACATCTCACAGGTATCACGCAAAGTTTATGGTTCACTAAATAGTTTAAAACGTAGGAAGAGTTTTTTGTCCACACAGACCCGCAAGTTATTAGTTTCTGCTACTATCCTTCCTACTATTGACTATTGCTCAGTAGTGTTTCTTAACTTATCGAATGAACTTGATTGCAAATTGCAGCGACTTGTTAACAATGCTATTCGATTCATCTTTAATCTGAGGCGAGATGAACACATCACACCATATCGACGGTCATTAAATTGGTTAAATTTAAAGTCACGAAGGCTATATTTTTTAGCCTGCGTGTTCTTTAAATTGTTATCAACAGGCGAACCAAAATTTCTACGTGATTTATTTATTGAAGAAGACCCTGTCATCAGACGATCGCAAAGAATAGCCAACAGAAATAATAATATCACCTTTAAAATAATCAATTTTGTTACTACAACCTACGAGCATTCATTTGTTATGTCAGCTATACGGTTTTGGCAAGATCTACCTCCTGAAATTTCAAATTCTCTTGGTTTAGAATCCTTCAAGACAAGAGTATTCGATTTTCTTATAAATCTTGAATAATAATATAATAGTGAGCTGGTTAATATGATTAAAAAACATTATGTCCATTTGAACATTATGAAAATTTTATGTTTCAAGCTATCATGTAAATTTTTATTTCCATTATGTACATATTAGCGGTACTTATGTGAATTATAATTATAATTTTATGTATATCATTTTTACCATTCGGCTTTATGCCTTGGCATTTAAACCTAATAAATAAATAAATAAATAAATATGGTAATTTATAATATACATTACATATTTTCGGTGTAATTTATTTGACTACATACATTTAATAACAAACTTAAAGTTTGATGACATTTAGATCCGATCTAACTAAGATAATTGCACAGATTTACTAATTTGTAATATAAAATATAAAATATTAGATAACAAATAATGACTGGGCAACCCAGTTTAAAATAAAGAAGCTACTGGAAATCCAGTTCAAGTAGATAATCAAACATCTTTACTTTAAATACTTCTAAACTACTAGCATTTACAATTTCTGCCGATAAATTTTTCCATAGTCGTATTGCAATGACTACAAAAGAGTTTTCTAAAGCAAAAGTAGAATATTTTGGTAATTCAAAATTTACATTGTTCATTTTGCTTGCCAATCTTTCAGAGTGTCTAGCTTCTTCTTCAATAAATAATTCCCTAAGATAATTTGGTTTTTCTATTTGTAATAATTTATAAAAATAAGTAACTAAGTAATATAAACGTCTCGATTTGATTGATAACCAATTTAATTCACGTCTATAAGGGGTTATATGTTCATCACGTCTTAGATTATAAATAAATCGTATTGTATTGTTTAATGAACGTTGCAATTTTAGGTTGTTATCAGCTGTAGAATCGATCAATACTATCGAACAATAATCAATAAGTGGGAGAATAGTAGCAGTGACTAAGAGTTTTCTGATATCAGTAGAATAGATGTTTTTCCGAATTTTCAAGGAGTAGAGGGTAGAGTTTACTCTTTTTATAACTTGCGAGACATAACTATTCCATGAAAGATCATTATTCAGTAATAAGCCAAGACCTTTTGTTTGATTTACATAAGGTAATGCAATATTATTTACAATAATAGGTGGGAGGGATTCAATATCTAGTGACTTCAATTTGCTATTTGTACCTATAATCATTGCTTTTCTTTTACTTAAGTTTACTTGCAAACCATGATCTCTAGCCCAATCTGCAATCGCCTGTGCATCTAATGTAACCAATCTAATAGCCTCATGTACAGACACTTGTTTGAAGTGGTGATATATATATTTGTCATCGGCAAATAAACCATATTTACAATAAGTAATATGCCTAGCTACTAGATTTATGACTATTAAAAATAAAATGGACCCTAACACTGAACCTTGTGGTACACCCGAAGATATTTCTAAGAATTTAAGAGGCAGATTTCTATCATTAAGTATTGATTGTGATCGCTTTGATAGATAAGAGAAGAACCAGGTTACATTTTCTATAGAAAAATCTAGTTCAAATAAAGCAATTAGTATTACTTTAGGGTCAACATAATCAAAAGCTTTGCTAAGATCAAACAGTACCAACAAAGTTAGTTCTCCTCTATCTCTAGCACATCTAATATCCTCCGTGAGTCTAAGAAGAGCTGATTGAGTGCTATGGAATTTTCTGAATCCAGATTGATATTTATCCAATAAGTTATTATCCTCTAAATAATCAACTACTTGATTTGCAACAATTCTTTCAAATACTTTACTTAAGTGAGCCAAATTTGCGATCGGACGTGTGTCAGATGGAGACTTTGGTGGTGTAACTTTATTTAACGGTATTATATAGACCATCTTCCAAGCATCTGGAAAAATTCCTGACTCAAGTGAACGATTGAATAAAGAAGTTAAAAATAGGGATATTTGCGGTAAATGATCGCGTAACCAATTTAAATTTAATCCATCAGGACTTTTACCTTTAGACTTTTGGAGTGTTAAATGCAAAGCTTTTGTTACGTCAACAATGTCTATCTGGTGCCACTTAAATGTACAATCAACTTTACTATGATATAGTAGGGGGATCGATTTGAGAAAATCTACATCACAAGGTGGATGTTTTCTCACTATATTTGCAAAATGTTCATTTAACAGGGTGTTATCAAAATAGTTTAAAGGAGAAGTTGAATTTGTCTTTATCAGTTCTAGGTGCTTAAGCTTACTCCAAATGGTTTTACCAGGTGAAATAGTAGCTAGATGAGTTTTTAAATAATTTTCACGAGCCTGATTTAGTTCTATTTTTAGTTTTTTTCTCATATCTTTATAGATAGCGAGCAAGTTAGGATCTTTGGTTCTTCTTGCTCGTTTATAAAGTATATCACGATCATGACATTTGTTCTTAAGATCTCTGGTGATCCAAGAGTTTGAGTTTCCAGTGACTTTAAAAGTAACTTCAGGAGCATATTCATCTAGAATCTTTAGAACTCTATTTAGAAATAATTCAAGGAGTTCATTTAGATCAGAATTTTTTATATTAATTTCATTTTGATTTAAGGCAACATTTAGAGAGTTTGCTAGGGCAATATGATCACAGTTTTTAAATTTTCTACAAGTGATATATTTATCAGGTGCCTTAGGACAATTTAGACGATATTCACAGAACAAATAATCATGTCCAGCTATAAAAGGAGAATCTGATTTATAAAAAGTACCTAGTTTACTTGAGTGTGTGAGTTTAACATTTCTCTCTCTGTAACTATATTTCTATCCTTTTCTTATTTCTCAGCTGTTGACGCGATGTTGTCAAATCTTTATTCGAATAAATGGCTGACGACAGACGAGTTACAAACATAAAATTTAACTTTAAATATTTAAAAAATTATATTGGTAATGTATTATTATTCAATTGTTTTTATATTTTGCAATAATCCAAGTTTCTTGTATATAGTTTTTTATTCGTTAAAGTTGGAAGGTTAATATTGAAAAAAATCTTAAAAGTCTCGACAAAAGTTTATCCGCCATAAGAGCCCGTGTATAATGAGATAAAAAGTGTGATTTTAAAAATTTAATATCTAAGTAACTAAATAGTGAATCTTTTTAAGATTTTGGGATTAAATAAATGATGGATTTATTTATACGTATATTTAATTTCAAAGCTCAAAGTTGGAAATTATTTTTTACATTAGATTCGCTCGTACTTCCTTAATGCCTACTCGAGAGGACTCTTTGTACTGGATTTTTCCTTAGTTTTAAAATGAGCTCTCACGTGACTTGGTTCGATTGGTGGCCTTGAGAAAGGCCTTTGTTTGATATTGTTTCTGAGAAGTGCTGATATTTGTCGAGATGACAGTAATAGCCAAAAGATGGCTAGGCGGTGACTCAAGGTCACTCGCTCTCAAAAGAAAGCTGGGTTTGTGAGTTCTGAGAAAAACTGTTTGGTTCTTAAGTTCTGTGGTCTGACAAAGCCCTTGATGAGATGCAGCCAGTTGTGTTCGAATGGTCGTTGGAAATAGACAAGCCTTGCGCGCTTGCTATCCCGGGTCTCACTGTAGTTGCAAGCCTTGTGCGCTTGCTGTAGACTTCGACGGAGTTGAGTAAGGCCTTGAATCTGACTCGGGCCGTTGAGATAGTCCGTATCGTTGAGATGGTCCGTACTGAGTAAGTATACTCGCTTGTTGGGAATAAGTAAGCCTTGCACGCTTGCTATTCCGTATTACACTATAGTTGCAAGCCTTGCGCGCTTGCTGTAGACTAGTCGTTGAGAGCTGGAACACTGTAGTTGAAGGCACAAGAATTGAATGGCTTGAGGCCAGGTGCGCTGCTCTTGATATACTGTCGTTGCGGCTGAGTTGCTGGTAGTGGGGGGATTAACGTGCCAGCCAATGAGATGGTTCGATTCGAGATGGAAGTGGAAAGTAAGTTCGCACCAATGAGAAGGCTTTGGTCGGGTTGGAAGGGGAGCTGTTACTGAGCTGACTAGCGGGAGCTCTCTTCGAGGTTCGTGCTTTTCCGAGTACCTAATTTTCAAGGTCGTGAGCTTGTTAGGTATCGATCGCATGTTAAATTTTCAACAACTTCTTAACAAAAAATTTTCAATCAATATATTTAATAACCGTTAACAAATTTTTTTTAAATACCATTTATTTGTGACTGAAAAATATATAAAACCCTCAAAACTGCTCAAAAAATATTCAAAAATATTTTCAATGCCTAAGAAATGATAAATTTAATGCTGATAAATATTGTGAATAGTTTAAAAATGTTTGTTTCTCCCCAACAACAATATTGAAAAAAATTGTTAACAAGTAAGTTCATTTATCACTCTCTTATACAAATACTAATTACTTCTACAAATACTTCTACCAGTGAAACTATAGTTTTGGGAAGTCACTGACACTCAAGTCTTGGCCCAGGTCTAGCTCCAAACTTGGCCCAATGGTTCAATATTTCCAAATTGAGCCATGGGAAGTTACCATTGGACCAAATATAAATTTAGAACTAGCTTGGTGCTTTAATTGAATTATAGAAAAATTGTTTTTAATGATAAAAATATTAATTTTTTATGAAAAAAATCTAACGCTAAAAAATGCTTCAATCATTAATTATTCATAGTCACATAATCTTAAATAATAGTAAGAACATTTCTTAAAAAAAAATTAGAAAAACGGTAGACCCTGAAGGCCATCCGTGCAACTTCGAGCTCAAAAATACAATTTGTGTGTTGTTTTGAGCTCTTCGAGCTCAAAAATCTGATTGCAGTATCATAGAACAATATTTTTTAAATTTTCAAACCGCACTAACTTTTAAATGAATCACTCGATTTTTACGCGGTTGGCAGTATTTGACGCAATTTTTTTAGTTCCATAGAATCGTCAAGTTTGAATTGATAAAACTAGAGAATTTGAAGTAATTCCAAACACTTTTTTTCGCTTTTCTTTCGTTCATGATATTTCTTGGACGAATGGACCAATTTTGACCGGCTTGACGGCAATCGACGTTATTTTTTCATGCTAATAGCTGATTAGTTTTTGAAATCAATACTAAAAATTCTAGCAAAAACTCGTTCTTGAATAAGTAAGTTAATTTATTTTATGGCTTTACATTTAAACCGGTTAAGCGGGCTAAAAAAGTTAGCCAGGTTAACTATTAGCTAACCCATCAGCTAAGCCGGTTAACTTAAATTGGCTAACCCATCAGCTTAGCCAGTTAACTTAAATTAACCAAGCTAATCAGCTAATTTTTAACCGGCTAAAAAAATAAATTTTTTTATATCATGGGATATTCCATGCCAAATCGACCACTTTTGATCGCGACCCTTTTAGATTTTTCTGAAATTTTTGTATCTTACTCTAATACCATATTGAAAACATTTTTCAGAATTATTTCAAATTTTTTTATCAAACCAAAAAAAAGTTACAAGTTATTTAAAAAAAATAGCTTTTTTTTTGTTAAATAACCATAATTTTTTGAAAATTAACTTATTGGGACGATTTTATTTTGAAAATTTCGTATTTATATGAACTTTGTAGAAAAAAAATAAAATGATAAGTCGATTCATATTCGTCATTTTTTTTTTAATTTTGGAAATAACGGAAATTTCGGGATGATTGTAATTTTTGATTTTCGATTTTTTTTTAACTTCCCGCTAAGAAAATCAATGATTTTCGGAAAATAGGGAAGTTATTGTTTTTACCCCGTTTTGCAAAAAACGAGGTTTCAACAGATCTCGACGTGTTGAAGCCCTAAGAAGCTTCTCTGACTATTTTTACGATAATGATCGTACGTACGTACGTACGTACGCATGTATGTATGTATGTATGTATGTATGTATGTATGTATGTGTGTGTATGTATGTATGTATGTATGTATGTATGTATGTATGTATGTATGTATGTATGTATGTATGTATGTATGTATGTATGTATGTATGTTTTTTTTTTTTTAAGTATGTGAATCACTTATAACTTTTGAACGGTTGAACCGATTTCATCGCGGTTGGTGGCATTCAAAAGGGCTTCGCTAAACTTAGATCTCCTGAGAATTTGAACCGATTCGGACCGATAGATTTTGAGAAATTTTGAAAAACCTCAAAAAAAATAAGAAAAAAATCATTTTTGAAAGTGGTTTTTTTGGAATATCTTTTAAACGGCTCGATCAATCAACTTCAAAAACTAATCCGCCCTTGAGCTTGAAAAACCACACCGATCGGCGCTAATCCGGTCAAAATCGGTTGATTCGTTCGAGAGATA